GAAGCAGGGAGAATCTATTCTTTATTATTTAAATTGAATCTTAATTGCACCCCTGCAGGTGCAATGTATCAGCTCTCCTTGCTCTGCTGGGATGGAGAGAGTATTTGGGTTGCAACCGCCCTCTGGCCCCTCCATCCTATTCCTCATCCAGGCCTGGAGGGACCAAGACTTGGTCCCTGCTTTGATGCTACAAGGCTTTTTCTTCCAAATCCTTTTCCCCCCCTGGCCTGCCACTTGCCTTATCCTATGTAGGACGTATCTTGTTTCCTACTTCAACTGGTCCCCTGGAGTCAGGGCCTTTGTCTGCATAGATGAGGCAAAGGGGCATCCCCAGCCCAGAGAGAGGCAGTGACCCAGTGGGAGAGCCATGATGGTAATGGGGGAGGGTTGGACTGGACCATTCAAAGAACTCTCTCTTTGGTCCAGCACGGACATTATCCTTGGTTTAGCCCCCACACTGGGAGTCAGGGGGCCTGATTACCACTCTATTCTGCTTTCTCACTGGCCACATAGCCTTGCATACATTACACAAGGCTCCCTGGCCCTCATTTCTCCATCTCCCAAATCTGAGCATATTGTAGGGTTGCTGGAGATGCCCACGAGCTAACAGAGGCATGCTTTGTAGATGGCAGACAGAGGTGCTGGTCCGATGTCAGCCCGGGTCTCTACATTTTCAGGGTGTGACTGCAACGGGCACTCGGAGACATGTCACTTCGACCCTGCTGTGTTTGCCACCAGCCAGGGGGCACATGGAGGGGTGTGCGACAACTGCCGGGACCACACCGAGGGCAAGAACTGTGAGCGGTGTCAGCTGCACTATTTCCGGAACCGGCGCCCTGGTGCTCCCATTCAGGAGACCTGTATCCGTAAGTAGGGGCTCCCTAGGGTACCATCCAGCCCATGACTCCCCACCGGTTCTGGACATAACACAGCACACGTACCTGGAGACACACAAGCCCTCAGGAAGCATGAAGACTTGGTCTTGTACCAGGACTTGTGGGCAATTGTTTTAACTTAGCTGTGCACTGCTAAGCAAATCACCTAACCTCTCTGGACCATCAGTGAACCAGTCAATCAACCATTATGTAGCCCTTAATTGGGGCATAGGAGAGGAAAAAGTAAATATAAGATGCAGTTCCTGCTGTCAAGAAACACACTCTTTGGTGATATGAACCATACACACATGAGACAGGGGGGCAAAGCACCTTATCTTTGTGTACGTTATTGCCTTTACATGTTATAATGCGGTCCTCTCTATATTTTTCTATTTCTCCCAACATTGAGAATTCCTCCATGGCAGGGATTATATCTTGTATCCTCAGGCCCTGGCGCAATGGCAAGCAAAATAATTAATGCTCAGGGCCAGCCCAG